GTGAGGGACGGCTGGTGTCATAGTTGGTAAAAAAGTTTGGGGGGTGGCAGTATGTCTGGGCTCTTAGGAATCAGTCTTGGGCCACTGATGGTGACTCCATTTCCCTCTCATGAGATTGGAGGAGGTCAGAAGATGCCACCTCCAGTCCTCTTTGCGCCCAGCAAACCTGTCTGCTGTCCGAGCTCAGAACAAGCCCTCTCCTGACATTGTCTGGTCACGGTCAGTGGACCCGGCTGTCAGCATGAGTACCCTTTACTTCTGTCACTGACAGCCCCACTGAGGAAGCTCACCTTTAACTCCTCAATATTGTACGCCCTGCGCTTTGTCTAAACCCTGTATACACATCTCTGTAATCACTGTGCCTTGGACTCCACAGTATTGTTTCAATGGGCCATTCCCAATCTTTTTTAACCCTTAATGTGTGAGACTGGGTTCTCTAGAGAAACAAAACCAGTAAAGCTAATATATTTAGAGAAAGAGAAATTTATCTCAGGAAAATGGCTCACACACTTATAGAAGCTGGGAAGTCCCAAGTTCTTGGATCAAACGTCAAGCCGGAGGCTTTTCCCGACTCCCGCAGCTGCAGGGGCTGAGGAGCTCAAGGTTGGCAGGCAGTACACTGGCTGTTGACTCCAACAAATGACAAATCCAAGATCTCCAGGCCGAATAGTGGATTGTTCGCTCACAGACAGTTGTAGGCAGCACAACAGAATCGCGATCCACAGAAGAGTGTCTCTTTTCCCAGGATGTCCATAAATATACTGGAAGCAGGCCACACCCTTAGGGAAACTCCCTTCCAACGGATTGGCTGCTCAAAACATATACATCTGATCCTGTCATCGGAACAACCCACATCACAATTGCTTAAACCACATAGAATTGTGGTCCAGCCAAGTTGACACACAGCTCCAACTATCACACTTAATAAACTTTATTATGCCTTGAAACAGCGTTCAGGTTTTTTCCTACAGAAACTCACATATTTCTTTCCATTAAGAGAAATGATCCTTTCTATAGCCTTGTGTTTTTTGTAGATCATTCATAAACAGAATGAG